TGAAAATAGTAGTATGGACGTGTAGGCCTTGACCAAAATATTTAGGCTGGGCCTAGGCTTGAGGTTTATAAATTATAAGTCACAGTGTAGTACTTTTTTTGCGAAAAAGACGCATGAAAATCTGGAGAATGTATAGGGCTGGCAGGAGGGCTTGAGATGGGGTAAAAAAGCAGGTGTCTCCCGCCAGATGCGGGAGACAGGTACTGTAGGTTACAGGTATGCTAGGCATTTTTCAACAATGCTGATCTCAGATTGCCCAATTCCAGATTTAGACTCTTAACTCCGAATTATTGATTTTTTATTTTGTAGGTTTGGATCTACCAGCTGTATAATCCGTTTGTCAGCACCTCTAAAAGAGCAGTTTGCATTGGTAGGGGAACCTATATACTTTTATTTTTCTATAATTACAGGCGGAGTCTATCAGAACTGCCGCTGCAGTGCGAAAAAGCTACTGTTTTCTATCGGCACTGCTGCAGTGCAAAAAATCTGCAGTTATCTTTAAAAAAAAAGGCTGCATTGTCGCAGTGGAAAAAAAGCTCCTATTTTCTAAGACTCTGCTGTTCAATTAATCAGTGATACAGTATACATAATACAGTATAGACCTAGGCCATCATACACAAACCAATAAATAAAACAAAAATAATAAAATAAAATAATAATAATGAATTACAGTAATAATACTTTAGTAGGCCTATTTATGATAGTTTGATTAATGAGGTAATTGTTGATTAATTTATAGAGATGTAATCCATAATAATATTAACAATGAATCAGCATATTAAAGCAACTTACGTCTATGTAGAACCTGTTTTTTAAGTAACACTTTATTATCTATAATTTTTATTGTAAATTCTATGATAATTTAATCCACTTAATTCATGTTTTCAATAATTTAAAATTTTGAACATTTTGTTGGGCCTAACACTGGATGTAAAAGTAAGAATTAAACCAAAAACATTGCTAATGTGTTTTCGTGTATGCAAATGCTAATACCATCATGCGAATAACTGCATGTTATTGATAAGCAGAGCTTACTTGTTTACTTGTATCCCAAGAGAGTCTTCTACAGTCGGATCCTCCTGGGTATAGAGGCCAAGCAAAACGATGCTTATAGGCCCCTCGAAAAAAACAGTATATTAAAATTTAACATAGGGCGCAAATTTGAGCGGATGGTCAGCCAAACGTACTTCGATCGCAGATTTAAATAAATTAATAGAAATAGAGTTAACATCTTCATTCGATAAGGAATTCCACAGCCGAACTGACCTAAATGAAAAAGCACGACTTCTAATAAGTGTCTTACAGTGCTGATGTTTAATCTTAAAGGAATGACCTCTAGTTCTAGCACCTTTATCAAACTCAAAAAATAAATCCCCCAAAACCCTATCAATTCCATGGACAATTTTAAAAAGCTGTAAAATATCCGATCTCTGTCTACGAAATGCTAGAGTTGGAAGATTCAAAAATTTAAGTCTAACTTCGTACGGAAAATCCCTTACCTCCAAAAACATCTTAGTTGCTCGTTGTTGAACTTTCTCTAAGGAATCTGCCTCTCTCTTATAAATTGGGTTATAGACTACACTACAATATTCTAAAGTTGGCCTCACAATAGACTTATACAGTTTCAATAGACCTTTTTTCTTCAAAAATCTAAAAGACCGTTTTATCATGCCCAATTTCATGTTAGCTTTCTTACAAATATCGGCAATATGCATTCTAAAATTAAGACTGGAATCAAAGGTAACTCCTAAATCCTTTATACTGTCAACTGCCTGAATTTCAGGCTTAGTGTAATATGGTTCAAATGAGGTGATGAATATCCATAGAAATACCATATCAATAAACTGCCAATGATGTAAATAATTTTCACACAAACTGACAAATATCTTAATAATCTATAATAATTTTGACGGTTTTTGACGCTAATGTGTCTGACCAGTAACAATAACATAGGGCTAAACGTAATAAATTATTAATACAATAATGTATTCATCTATCGATCAAAACATAAATTTTGATTATAAGCAGTTTTTGGACTGTAATAGTGCTGATAGAAAACTGCATTTTTTTTTTTTTGGTACTGTGGTAGAGCCTATAGAAAACAGCAGATTCTTTGCATAGAAAATAAAATCTTTTTTCGTACTGTTGCAGTGCTGATAGGAAGCAGCAGCTTTTTTTCGCACTGCGGCTGTGCGAAATCGGTACTGTGGCAGTGCTGATAGCCACTGATGTCATCATACCTGATGTAAAATAAACTACACTGTAAACTACATACAAAAAATATTCAAAATATTCTTGAATCTTACACAGTGACAGATACAGCACTATAATATTTCTGGGGCACATGTGTTGGAGGATTGACATAGTTTTATACAACTATTTATTTTTATTGCTAGGAAAATGGAATGGATTTTACTGAGCTGCTTTCTTCCTCCGAATACAAAGAAAGTTGTAGATCCAAAATGATACTTTGGGGAGAAGAGAAGAGAAATGAAAACCCTTCAATCTTCTGTGAACTGGCAACCAAAGACAAGCATGACACACCAGTTTGGATCGTTAGTGATGCAAGGAGAAAGACTGACATACTTTACTTCCGAAAGAAGTACCCAGATGTTGTAAAGACTGTAAGAATCACAGCTGATATGGATGTAAGACAAAGCAGAGGTTTCAGTTTTGTCAAAGGTGCAGTACAATACGAGAAAATATTTATATATGTACATACGTCTGTATATAGTTTTATAATAATATGAACTTGTCATTCGAAAACTAGCGTACTGTTGCTAATAGTTAAACTGAGTAATGAGCATAAGAATTTGGCAGTATTATATACTTTAATACCCCATTCTGCAATCTTTTTAGCCCACGACCCAAATCCAAATATTTAACACTCAGCCGCGAACCATCGACCTCAGGCTGAAATTACTCTGAAAAATCTTGGCCAAATTAATAAATATGATGTTAATATTGTGGTCAGGATTGCCTGATTTTTGTCACTACCTTGAATTCATTGTTTCCTTACATTATTTAATTTTGTCTTAATTTAAAGAAAGATGTCATTTAAATGTAAAAATATACCTAGTTATACCTTGTTACTCTGCTTCGGTCCATATTTCCTAGATTTCAGGATGTACATTTACATTTGACCAAGTGCGATAGATATTGGTGTTTACTAGAATCACTAAATTGCTTCCTTTTTTTTTTTTTTTATTTAAGTAATTTTATTTAATACAAGTTTTTAAAAACACCTTTACACAGATAAATGACACTAACACACCAAGTATTGTTTAAAACTTTATTTGAAAAGGAATAAGTGCAATATTTATTGGAACATCAAGCAATTCTGCTCACGATATTGTTATTTTCAAGATATATTATCCCTTGCTAATGTAAAAAAATCATAAATAATCATTTTAAAATCAACTTGCTAATTTTGCAATAACATACCAATTATTAACTTGTGTATAGAAATTATTGAATTAAAAAAAAATGTGTACCCTGATTTTTAAACTGGATAATTATAATTAAAATAATAAAACACTTTCAGTGACTGGAAGTGTTTCTATCATTTTTGCTGTATTAACTGATGGGTAGACATTTTTTAAAAACACTAATTTCTATGTTCATGTTGGTAAATTTTATGTTACTTCAAAGTGGGCAAGTTAATTTAAAAAAATATTTTTATGATTTTTTGGGTATTTAGCATGGGACAATACATCTTCACCAAAGAAATTTATTATGTACTACCATCTTTCAATTCAGAATTTTTCGGGAATTAAAATTTGAAAGTGTACATATGTGTTACATCAAAAATGATCATCAAATTAAATACATAGGACTGTTAGTGCGATGGTTTACTTCTCTACAGAAACTTCTAATCAATCCAACTTTGTAGTGGCAGTAATGCAGTCCTCAAGTTGGCACACAGCGCCATTATTTTCAGTCTTTTCTCGATACTTTGACTAGAGATATGAACCATATATTTGATCGCGTATAAGACGATTCGCGTAAGAATCGCTACTGTTTTTTATTGCAATCATTGTACTAGCGTAGCAGTCCACGAGGCAATCGTGAAAGTTCACATACGACCAACCAATCAACGTCTGCTAATAGCGTGTGGCGATTTTGTGGAAACCAAGCTTTATTCACATGCATCGGGGTTCGGTTGTTGGCATTTGCGTTTGTTACCATTAATTTTGTTTTTATTTGTGGCAATTGCATGACCCATCAAAATTTCTTCGCGACCCAAACATTGGGTCACAACCCACAGGTTGTGAAACGCAGCTTCAGTACAGAGAAGCCATAATACTTTTAATAATTACTTTGGCAATAGTAAATGGATTCCACTAAATGATCTTTTTAAAGCTTGTGATGTGGAGAATATGATACAGTATAGAAAAGTAAAATTCCATGTTTTGTTCGCTGATGCATGTTTTGGTGTAGCAAGCCCATATTGTGGCAATTGCATGACCCATCAAAATTTCTTCGCGACCCAAACATTGGGTCACAACCCACAGGTTGTGAAATGCAGCTTCAGTACAGAGAAGCCATAATACTTTTAATAATTACTTTGGCAATAGTAAATGGATTCCACTAAATGATCTTTTTAAAGCTTGTGATGTGGAGAATATGATACAGTATAGAAAAGTAAAATTCCATGTTTTGTTCGCTGATGCATGTTTTGGTGTAGCAAGCCCATACATATATATAGTTTTAAAATACTGTGGTTTATTAATGATAATAATTGTAATAATGATTATAATTGTGATAATAATTTTGTTAATAAGAATAATATTTTATGTATTTTCATGTATTTTATATATGTTTTTTATTGATTTTTACTATGTACAGTATTTTGTATGTAAATACGCCATGGAAAACGAATTTCCAACATGTTTAATGTTTGGACAAATAAAAGTTTATCTTATCTTATCTTAATGTTCCTTGATATTTTAAGCTCAGTCAAACTTGTAGGTCCTTGCATTTATTCCGGAATTCACTATCACAATGAATACCAGTTACTTAAGAATTCTAACTACTGTACAGTACTTGCTAAAATATTCTACGGTATGAGACTAAATATAAATTTAAAGTTATAAATGTACTGGTAATAATTTTTTTTTTACAGGTGTAGATGATGCAGAATCAGAGTGTGGACTTGATGACATTCGGGACTGGGATTTTACAATCACAAATAACGGGGGAACAGATGAGCTAAACAGTCAGCTTGATGCAATCATCAAATTTGGTTTGGACTTTTTCCATTGCTGACAAGGCTGGAGACTTTAAAGGTACCCGATTCTCCACCTTTAGCCAGAACTTGTCTGTGATGTATTGCACCCTTCGACAGCATTTTTGCCCATACAGATCTTCGCTTACGAACTCACTAGGTGGGGCTTCTACAAGCTGAGTCTTAAGGGTCGGCAGCATTGCAGGAGTAATTGCTTGCGGATCATTGGCATCTGAAGGCACTGGTAGTGATGGGTCGGTAATTCACAATTGTGCATTTAAAAAAGAACTAACAAAACCTGAAACAGTGCTTAAACATTAGTCACTGTAACCTTGCACCCTGTGCGTTACTATTTTCGGTTCTGGTAGAGGTAGAAATGAATCAAACGTGTAGACAACGTAGAATTAACATAAATGGTACATGCTTTATTCTTGCACGGTGTACATCCACTGTGTCATATGATGTCACGATATCACGTGTTACACATTGATGCGCTACGCCTACGTCTACGACTACAACTACGGTTTAAAATCAGTTTCTTCTCCAGAACCTGTTGCATTGAATCCATGAACTGAACTGATATACTGTTTTGGTGACTATTCCAAAACAAGATAAGAAAGTCTGTTGCTAAGTGAGAATGGCAAACCTTGAATGCATAGTTGGAAGATAGCTAAGTTCACTGTCTGTAATCTAGAATTACAAGCACCACAAACTTGTGGTCTGCATAGAGTATCTTGGTCTATGCTTTAACACAGGCCTATTCTACAAACAGGGGCAGTTAATACATGTAGCAAAATCTGACTTAACATTCCGGCCCCTTAAAGGCATCGTAAAGATAGCCTTTACATAATTTACAAACTAATATCAAAATTAAAGACATAAAAGTTACCCAAAAAAAATATAATAAAAGTTCAAATACATGGTTAGGTTAATCAAAGTTCATAACCATTTACTTGTCAGCCGATTTAGTAGCATCCTCCAGAAGAACAAGTTTATCAATTGGTCTCACAAGCATTGAGGTGTTTGTCTTCAACTTAACTGAGCGTACAAGTCCATCGCTACGATTGGTGTAAACTTCCAGAATTCTTCCCAACGGCCAAGAATTCCGAGGTGTATTCTCGTCGAGAACTAACACAATATCGTCCACTACAAAGTTCCTCTGTGGCTTGTTCCACTTTTGTCTCTGTTGTAGTGATGGCAAGTATTCTCGAGTCCAACGTCTCCAAAATATATCCGACATGTACTGAACCTGCCTCCATCGTCGGCGACTATATACATCTTCTTTAGTAAACTTACCAGGTGGCAAGTTATTTCCTCCTCGTAGAAGCAACAAACGGTTAGGTGTTAATGGTGTTATATCGTGTGGATCATCAGAAACTTTTGTGACCGGCCTTCCATTAACAATAGCCTCTACCTCGCACATTAGGGTGTTCAGACCCTCATCATCAAGTGTTTGCTGTTTTAACACAGCTAACATTACTTTCCGAACGGTTCTTATGCACCGTTCCCACACTCCGTGTGATCCCATAGGTGGGTTGAATGTCCATTTGATATTTCTTTGCAAAAGAAATTCGTGAATTTGGGATTGATTCCAATCATTTATAGCCTTTTTCAGCTCTTTCTCTCCCCTTACAAAGTTTCCTCCGTTGTCTGATCTCATCTCCTCCGGTTGCCCTCTTCTAGCAATAAATCTCCTTAAGGCTTTTAAGAAAGATTCTGTATCCAAGAAGTTAGAAACTTCGATGTGCACTGCTCGTACAGTCAGACACGTAAAGAGGACGGGTGCAGGTCAACTCGGCCACAAGTCAACTCGGCCACAGTCAACTCGGCCACAAGTCAACTCGGCCACAAGTCAACTCGGCCACAAGTCAACTCGGCCACAAATCAACTCGGCCACAAAAAGTTGGCCACAAGTCAACTCGGCCACAAGTCAACTCGGCCACAAGTCAACTCGGCCACAAGTCAACTCGGCCACAAGTCAACTCGGCCACAAGTCAACTCGGCCACAAGTCAACTCGGCCACAAGTCAACTCGGCCACAAGTCAACTCGGCCACAAGTCAACTCGGCCACAAGTCAACTCGGCCACAAGTCAACTCGGCCACAAGTCAACTCGGCCACAAGTCAACTCGGCCACAAGTCAACTCGGCCACAAGTCAACTCGGCCACAAGTCAACTCGGCCACAAGTCAACTCGGCCACAAGTCAACTCGGCCACAAGTCAACTCGGCCACAAGTCAACTCGGCCACAAGTCAACTCGGCCACAAGTCAACTCGGCCACAAGTCAACTCGGCCACAAGTCAACTCGGCCACAAGTCAACTCGGCCACAAGTCAACTCGGCCACAAGTCAACTCGGCCACAAGTCATCTTATAATATAAATCATCAAAGGTAAATAATACAGTATATATGTACCCTGTCTCTTATACACATCTAGATGTGTATAAGAGACAGATGATTTGATGTTTCGTGTCAATGTCAATTGGTGCATTATGAAGACGCCCTCCTACACGTACAATTCCTTCCACTAAAATAGGATCCAGTTTGTATATACTGCTAGTCTTTTTTCTCAATTCGACTTGATCGTTTCCAAAGCATTGCTGCTGTATGTGTCTTACAATAGCGGATTCCGCACCATTGATCTCCAGTACAGTTATTGGAGTGACCGTCTTCTCGGACAGCAGAGGCATTCCGCTCTTGCTCCTTCGAACTGCTTCTCTAAGCTTTGACTTGTAACGTAAAAGCCATGCAATGGTTTTTCTCAATGAGTTCCAACTTGAGTAATGATCTATGACCTTTGAAATTGAGTCTTGGGCAATGACATTGTTAGCACAGACGGTGGAATTTGACTTCACTTCTGGGTCATTGTTTGGTATTTGACCCAGGTCTATCGGTCTCTGAGGCCATTCATTTTCGGATTTCATTAGAAAGTCCGGCCCCTGTTTCCATCGATGATTACTTAAAAGTTCACTACCTGTCATACCTCTTGATGCCTCGTCTGCTGGGTTCAGTGATCCGTCAACGAATCTCCATTGACTTGCTTCACTTTGGTCGAGTATGGTTGAATTCGATTTGCTACAAAGGTTTGAAATCTTGTTTCCTTATTTTCTAGATAACGTAGAACGCATGTACTATCAGTCCAATACGTGGAGCTGTCGATAGGCATCATTAGTTCTTGTTTTATCATTCTATCCAATCGTGTGGATACGACAGCTGCTGATAATTCCATCCTGGGTATAGTAATTGACTTTAGAGGAGCTAATCTAGATTTTGCCATTACAATAGCACAGCATACATCTCCATGTACATTCAACTGGCGTAGATAGGAAACAGCACCGTATCCATGGCTTGATGCATCTGAAAAGTGGTGTAGTTCTCGTTTGACTACGTTTCCAAAGTTAGAGGGCTTGAGACATCTTGGAATAGTGAACTGCTCAAACTTAGGAAGGTCCTTGAGCCAATCCTCCCATTTTATTTTACTTGCATCTGGAACCTTATCGTCCCATCCTAGACCGTGTCGGCACAGTTCTTGCTGAATGGCTTTTGCTGGTAAGATGTATGGACTAACAAATCCTAATGGATCATATACAGAGCTGGTTATGGATAGCATCCCACGTCTTGTTGCTGGGCGGTCTTTTTCAATGATCCGAAACCTAAAGGTATCTGATGACAAATTCCATCTTACGCCCAAAGCTCTCTCAGTCAACATTTTATCATCGAGGTCCAAGTCTAATTCCTTAACTGACGTTGCCCTTTTTTCCTCCGGGACTGATTCAACGATGTTCATTGAGTTAGACGTCCACTTTGTCAAATGGAATCCACCTTTGTACAGTAATTCTTGAAGTTGTTTTATCAGACGTTTTGCTTCTGACTCTGTCTTTAAAGAATGAAGACAATCATCAACATAGAAGCTTTCTTTCGCTGTTTTGATAGTTTCTGCATCGAAGTCATGCTTGTTATCTTCTGAAGTACGTTTGAGCGCATAGTTCGCGCAGCAAGGAGATGATGCACCTCCGAATAAATGGACCAACATCTTGTATTCTTCAAGCTGTTTTCTGGTATCGCTGTTTGGCCACCAAAGGTACTTAAGAAAATTAGAGTCGTCAGGTCTCACTCGGACCTGGTAAACATGGACTCTATATCTGCCATAAAGGCAAATTCTTCACGCCGGAACCGTGTTAGTACTCCCACAAGCGTGTTCGTGAGGTCCGGCCCCTGTAGCAGTTGGTCATTTAAAGATGTGCCGCAATATTTGGACGAACAGTCAAACACCACCCTGACTTTATCGGGTTTTTGCGGATGGAACATGGGGTGGTGTGGTAAATACCACGCTTCTGATGCTGATTCTTCCTGTTCGACTCTTTTGGCATAACCCTTAATCACCAAATCCCTCATAAAAGCCTGGTACTTCTTATGTACGATTGGTTCTTTTTTAAGACGTCTTTTCAGCGCTTGGAGTCGGCGTTCTGCCAGTCCTTTGTTGTTTTGTAACTTTGGCGGGAATGACTTCCATGGCAGTGCTATCTGATAGTGGCCATTCTTGATTACAACACTTTCTTCCATTATTTGCAATGCTCGTTTGTTTTGGGACATTGCAGGGTTTGGTTCATATAAACTGTCATTGAATTCTAAATTACAGTAGGTTTTATACTGTGTTGTCAGTTGCTTGTTGGAATCGATGTAGTTGGCAAAGTGTGTCGGTTCAGAATTCTTTCTACCCAATGGGCCATTGACAACCCAACCAAGTTTAGTCCGGGTGGCATATGGGCCACCGTTCTGGCATTGTCGCACTTCTACTGGTTGTAGCAATTCTGGCATATCACTTCCTATGAGAATACCAATGTCTGCATTGATTTTCTGTACTTCAATTCCATTCAAGTGAGGCCATCGATTAACATCTTCAGAAGTAGCAACTGTATTCATTGAAATTGGTAGAGATTGTATTGAGTAGACGGTTGGTAACTTCACTGAATTTTGATGATCTAGGTCGAAGATTTCCAAACTTGCAAGTTCACACTTGACTGGTCGATTGACTCCATTGATTGTTGTTAATGGCAAGTTTATCTTGTCGATCTTTACTCCAAGTTGCTTTAGCAGACTGTTGGTGCAGAAGGTAGTATTCGACCCATTGTCGAGAAAGGCATATGTTTCTACTACTCTGGAACTTCCTGCAGCCTTAACTCGCACCGGTAGGGCACCAAGTCCAGTAACAGCTGAAGTGTTTCGTGTTGCCGTCATGCTGACTTTATTCACATCTGTGATCTCTTTAGGTGGCTGATGTTTGGGTTCTTTATGGACATTGATGCCAGCAC